AGTACCAGCTTCAGACAGGGCCTCTCCGCGGCACTCTGTGCCGCCGCCCGCACCCGACCGCCAGCTGTTTCCGCCGCCTCGACGATCTTTTTCGTCGTCGCTTTGGCCCGGCCCCGGACCTCCCTGACTGGCACAGCCTGCTCCGCCAGGGCGTGCCGATCTTTGAGTTAGACATGGATCAGATAGGTGCTGCTTTGCATGCATTGTATGCTGACGCTTCTAGTGTTGCTGGATCTTACTACCCTGTGTACTCTAGTTTAGGTGTTTCACCCTTGTGTAGCTTAGCTTCCCCTGCTGCGTCAGGCGTAGGACTGCCTAGGTTGCCTAGCCTAGCTTCTGCACCCGCCCCGTCCCCGGCCTCTGCCACTGCCTCGCTGTCCTTCACGCTCGACTCCGGTGCTTCTGCCTGTTTCTTCCGTGACCGGTCCACGCTCACGCCGCTTGCTGCACCTGCGGTTGTCTCCCTCGCTGACCACTCTGCCGGTCCTGTCGTCGCTCGCAGTTCCACTTCCCTTCCCTGTCCAGCCGTTCCCTCGGGCTCTCTTACAGGCTTCCACGTTCCCTCGTTCTCCAGGAACCTGGTTGGTGTCGGTCGTCTTCAGGACCTCGGCGTCACCACCACGTTCCCTGGGCACGAGCGGTACGCTGTCTGTACCGAGGCAGTCTCAGGTTCCCCTCTTGCGACGTTCCCCCGGGACCCGGTGTCTGGTCTGTTTACCCTCGACACCGCTTCCCCCCCGGTTGGTGCGTCCTCCCAGGTCGCTGCAGCTTGCTCGTGTCGGTCCCTCACTCACCCGTCCCTTCTCTGGCACCACCGCTTAGGTCACCCTGCTCTCCCACGTCTGCGTCACATGTCTCAGCACGGTCTTGTCTTAGGCCTCCCCGCGTCGCTCCCTGCCCTCCCACCCTCGACTGCGCCACCGTGCATGCCTTGCGTCGAGGGTCGGCTCCGCCGTGCTCCTCACTCCTCCTCGCTGCGTCCTGCTACTGCCCCCCTTCAGACCCTGCACCTGGACGTTTGGGGCCCTGCCCCCGTCCCCGGACCGCGCGGTGAGCGCTACTTCCTTGTGCTCGTCGACGACTACACGCGCTACACCACGGTGTTTCCTCTGGAGCGGAAGGCCGACGTGCCCGACGTTCTTCTCCCGTGGGTTGTGGCTGCGCGTCTCCACCGCAGTCTCCCCGTGTTGTGTCTCCACTCCGACCGTGGCGGCGAGTTCGCCTCTGGTCGGCTTGGACAGTTCTGTCGTGCGGAGGGCATCACCCAGTCGTACACGTTGCCGGACTCGCCACAGCAGAATGGGGTTGCTGAGCGCCGCATCGGCTTGGTCATGGAGGTCGCCCGTACATCCATGATCCATGCCGATGCCCCCCATTTTCTGTGGCCGTTCGCTGTTCGCTACGCTGCTCACCAGCTTAACCTGTGGCCACGCTCCCAGCGGCCGCAGGTTTCGCCGACCCTCCTTTGGACCGGGTCCCCCGGTGACGCGTCTGCGTTCCACGTCTGGGGCTGCCTTGCTCACGTTCGTGCCTCTGGCACGGACAAGCTCACTGCCCGCACTGTACCCTGTGTCTTCCTCGGTTTCCCCCTGGACTCGTCTGACTGGCTCTTCTATCACCCGCCGTCTCACCGCTTCCTGCACTCTCGTGACGTCACCTTTGACGAGTCCGTCTCCTTCTACCGCCGCTTCCCTCACCGAGGTCTCCCAGTTGCCCCCCCCCTGTTCCTTGCTCCCTCTCCCCCAGTAGCCCCTGCCCCTCTCCCGCCTGATCCTGCCCCGTCTGGTGTCTCTCACGTCACTCCCCTCCCGTCGGTTGTCCCCGTTGAGGAGTCTGCTGACTCTGGTGGTACCCCCGGTCCGTCCTTGCCGCGTCCCCCTTCCCCGGTGCCTCCGCCCCCACTGTCGCAGTCGCCGACCCCGCTGCCGCCGCCGTCGCCGTCGCTGCCGCAGCCGTCGCCGCTGTCGCCGCCGCCGCAGCCACTGCCGCCGCCGCTCTTGGCCCCTGGGGGTGCTGGTGTGGAGGAGGGTGTTCGTCCTGCGGCTTCTGGGGGTGCCGCTGGTGTTGGAGGGGGTTCTCGCTCTGGGGGTGTTGGTTCTGGGGGTGCTGCTGTTGAGTGTTCTGCCGACGGTCGTTCTGCCTCTGCTGGTCCGAGAGTTCCGGCCCAGCCGTCGTCGCCGCCGCAGCAGCCGTCGCCGCCGGTCTCCGCTCTCCGCCTGCTCGGCCTTCCCTCCCCGGACCGCGCGCCGGTGTCTCCCCCACCGCCTGCTGACCTTCCTGTCTACGGTCCTGTGTTCCCGCCGCCAGACTCGTCTCCGGCCCGTCTTCCTCCTCGTTCCCCTCCAGTGTCTCCTCCGCTGTCCCCTGACCCTACACCTCCGTCTCACGTTTGGGCTCGCCGTCCCTCCCGTGCTCGTCCCCTCTCTCCTGTCCTGCCCTCCCACCCTATGTTGCTCCGTTCCCGCTCGTCTCGTCCTCCCCACCTCCCGTCCCCTCCTCCCTCGTCCCTTGCTGTTGCACCTCCTCCGTTCTCTGACTACCTCCGTGCTGCTCGTCCCCTTGTCCCTCGGGTCCTTGCCTCTCTTGTTACCGACCCTGCTGTTCCTGTCTCGCGCCTTGACGCGCTTGTCGCTGCTGTCGCTGACTTCGCCTCTACCCGCCGCCTTGACTACGCTACCGCTCTGGTCTCTGACCCTGCCCGTCCTCCGTCCGTCGGGGGTGCTCCTGCCCTTGGCAGTGACGTCCTAGAGGACAGGCAGTACGAGCTGGCTTTCCTTTCCGAGGCTGCTCCCCATCTCTGCTCCATGCTGTTAGTCCCTGAGGGTGACCCAGACGCCTTCGACATCCCGACCCCTCGCACCTACGCTGAGGCCACCTCGGGACCTTGGGCCTCTCAGTGGATAGCTGCCATGGAGCAGGAGATGGCATCTTGGAGGTCCACCGGCACTTACGTCGACGCAGTTCCCCCGCCTGGGGTGAACGTAGTCGATGGTCGGTGGCTCTTCAAGGTGAAGCGCCCCCCTGGAGAGCCGCCTGTCTTCAAGGCGCGCTACGTGGCCAGAGGTTTCAGTCAGCGCGAGGGGGTTGACTTCTTCCAGACCTTCGCCCCGACCCCGAAGATGACCACTCTTCGGGCGCTGCTACATGTAGCAGCACAGCGCGACTACGAGCTTCACTCCCTCGACTTCTCTACTGCCTTTCTTCAGGGCAGCCTACACGAGCAGGTCTACCTGTGCCGACCACAGGGCTTCACTGGTACCTTCCCTCGTGGGACCCAGTGGCTTCTCAGGCGCCCGGTCTACGGCCTGCGTCAGGCTCCCCGCGAGTGGCACGACACGCTACGTGCCACGTTAGCAGACCTGCAGTTCTTTCCGTCCTCTGCTGACCCTTCACTGTTTGTGCGTTCCGGCCAGACTCCGTTCTACATCCTTGTCTACGTAGACGACCTGGTCTTCGCTACTACTGACAGGGACGCACTGGCCTCTGTGAAGGCCGAGCTGCTGAAGAGACACACCTGCACTGACCTTGGAGAGCTGCGTCGCTATCTTGGCCTGCAGATCTCTAGGGACAGAGCAGCACGCACCATCACTCTGACACAGTCACACTTGGTGCGTCAGGTCCTTTAGAGGTTCGGTCTTCAGTTCTCCTCCGCACAGCCCACACCTCTACCCGTAGACCATGGGCTCTCTGCTCCCGTTCCTGAGGAGCCAGTAGAGCCCAGTGGCCCCTACGCAGAGCTGGTGGGTTGCCTCATGTACCTGATGACTTGCACTCGCCCAGATCTCGCATACCCTCTCAGCATCTTGGCTCGCTTTGTGGCTACAGACAGACACCGACCTCAGCACTGGTCTGCCGCTAAGAGAGTTTTGCGTTATCTTGCTAGTACATCAGGCATGGGGTTAGTGCTAGGAGGACGCAGGCCAGTGGTCCTTACTGGGCACACAGACGCTTCTTGGGCAGACGACGCTGAGACGCTCAGGTCGTCGCAGGGCTACTGTTTCAGCCTTAGTTCGGGTGCTATCTCTTGGAGATCCACTCGCTCGTCGTCTGTGGCTCAGTCTAGCTGTGAGGCTGAGATCTACGCTGGTGCCATGGCGGCACAGGAGCTCCGCTGGCTGACCTTCTTGCTCACAGACTTAGGTGAGCGGCCTAGCTCTGCCCCGGTCCTGTACGCTGACAACAGGGCCATGATACTCCTGTGTCAGGAGCCTCGGCTTGAGGGCAGAGCGAAGCATATCCAGCTGCGGTACTTCCTCATGCGCGAGCTACAGCAGCGCCGCCAGGCCCGTGTAGTTCACTTGGCCTCAGGTGCCAACACAGCTGATATCTTTACTAAGGCGCTTGCGCCTAAAGATCATCAGCGGCACTGTGTACAGCTTGGTCTAGTTCCTGTAGCTGCTCCCCTATTAGGATCCTGATTGTGTACTCTCTATTATATATGCTTGTCAGACTGGCCTTGTGGCCTTACCTCCAGTGGCTGGCTGGACTAGTAGTGCCACCCTGGCTTGCTTCAGTTTTGGTTGTATTCTTGCTGACTGGTCTCCAGACCCCTGCCTCAGTGGTTGGACTAGTAGTGCCGCCCTGAGCTGTTTGCTTCTTGTTTAGTTTCACCCTTTGTCTAGCCTAGGGGGTGTGTCAACTTATACATATTATCTATGTAGAAGTTATATGCTAGACTGAGGTATGCTTCTAGTGAGTACAACCAACTAGTATTTGTTCTAGGTTTCCACTTCTAGTTATTTATTCGTTTCTACGTTAACAGGGTGGACCTATCTACTCATGATACCATAGTCAAGTGAAAGTATGTCTAGAACAAGGCATACAAGGGAATATAACCTAATGGGTTGTACTCCCTAAGGCACAACCCTATAGTCTACAGAAACATACAATATATGTTCGACAGGGGACTCTGACGAATCAGACAGGCCCAAAACCAATTTGGGGCCTGCCACATACGGTACCTTGCCAACTTTAAACTTAAGGGTAGCAAAATGAATTCTTTGTATTACAGTAACTCTGAACCTTCTCGTAAAACAGGTTTGCAGCCAGAAAACACCTACGATAATTGTGATGGAAAGGTGCAATTCCAATATTCCATCCTACACACCGTAACACGGAGCAACTAAAGCACTGCACTAGGCTACGGATGAGGAGGAATGTTGGGTGAGCGACTGTCACCTAAAATAACATCCAGGCGAGGAGAAAAGGCTTCGTAGATAAGGGTGAGCGGACGTCCATGACTATAGAAGAAATAGTGTCTAGCCCAGAAGGGCCCTGGTACTCCAAATATTCTGCATGGGAGAAGGAAAAGAAAGAAATCAAGCAAGCAAGACACACGGAAAATGATGGCACGCACATCCTCCAACCCGAGACAGAAGGCTGTGGACTAATTCAGGATCAGCAAAATAACCGACTTAGGAGGGGTAACAGACATACGGTAGGACCAGCAGGAAACATAAGTTAAACCGAAGGCAGAAAAATCCCACCTTTCTAAGTGAGGAGAGGACCCATAATAGAGCCGTTCAATGGAGCGAAAGAGTTCTGTTCTTTGCTGCTGCAGGGACTTCCAGACTGGCTGTTGCACCGCTGGTAGTGCTGCCTTCACCTCCTCTGCCGCCCACCAGGAAGCAGCGTATACCAGCACCTCACCAGAACGAGGCTTCAAGTGAACCTGACAATTATGGCAGCCATAAAGAAAGGTTCAGGTGGCCATGGACTCATATATGTCCAGTCTTCTAAGCTTGAACATTATAAGATGCGATGGCGGTAGTGGGGTGACGAGTATGCAAGCAAGCCAGTAAGTAGCAAAGAGACGGTTTTCTTATGAAAAGGGGAAAAAGACAGAAAGCATGGGGTTATGGTGCTTTACCTGTCTCTGAACTCGAGGTCCTGGCACCAGCGCTGTGCCAGGAGGCAAACCCAGAAGGGCATGGCCAATCCCTCGCATCTCCACACAGTCTATGTTGATTTGCTCCCCTAGCAAGAGCTCCAGATGGCGGGTAACGGAGCCATCACTGAGTAGCATCATTCTCCATAAATGAGGAAGGGAGAGAAGCAAGTCCCTTTGCTCCAGAACGCACTGCTCAGTACCCTGCGACAACAACAGATGCAGCAGACAACCGGCAGCCACCTATATTGAAAATGCGCTGTACAGAATCCAACCTCAAAAGCGTCAGTGACGTAACACTCAACGCACCTGCCAGATCGGCTTGACTGGATACCAGTCAGGCGACATGAAGTTGATCCACTCCGAGTCTAGTGCTGGTTTCGGTCGTTGCCCTTGCTCTTGCTGCTGCCTGAGCTGCATGTCTATTCCAGCTACTGGACTAGGAGGAGGCCGAAACGGGGGTGGGTTGGAAAACGGTCTCGAGGGAGGGATTGCAGAACCTACAACGGCTACAGGGAAGTTAGCTGCCCCTCCATTGGACGATCGGTTATACTCCCGAACACTAATATCCTCTACCGCTTTGAACTGATTAGTGCCCTTATAGTCGCCTTGGCCCGGACCGCTACTACCCGGTCGCGGTACCTGACTCTGTTTGGGAGGCTGAGGCTGAGGCTTGCCAGAGGGGTTCGAAAAGGTGGAGTTATTTGACGATGTGGTGCCAGAGAAGCCGACAGAGGATGGTGATGGTGGGTTGGAGGAAGTGGATGAGTTGACAGATGGAGATGGACTGACAGGAGGGGGTGTCAGGGGACCACGTGGTTTCAGATCATCCTGTGGAGAACTTTTCGTGGGGTCATCGCCGTTATCCCCTCGATTGCTTTCACCTCGCGTTTTGCCGCCGTTGCTACTCCTGATATCCCCGCTTGAAGATCGCGCCGGAAAATCGGGAGGAGTAGGAGAGGAGGCGAACACCCTGATCGCAAGCAACAGATCACGAAAGAAGGCGCGGGGGAATACAGTAAAAAGTGACGAACATTAGAGACCCGAAGGAACAAGCCATTCGGTTGGTGTGACGTTACGGCATAAAAGCCTAAAACTCTGGAAGAGTGAAAACAAAAGCAAGATGGGCTGAATTCCAGAGACGGATCAAGGGAAAGTGGCCATCTTTCCTTGTACATAAAGAGAGATGAAGCATTACCTGGTAAAAGGCTTTCGTGCTTCTCGGAATCTGTCGTGACGAAGAGAGAACGGCGTCGAGCTTCGAACCCAGGAAACCCCCCTCACAGAAGCAGATCTATGTCGCAAACTAATCGATCCTATCGCTTCTATACGAATGCTAACTGGACGAAAACAAACGGCTCTGGCTTCCATGCTGTGTCTGTATTGGATGTCTGACACAGGGGGAACAAATCACAGGTGAGATGAATGTCCTATCAACCTCATCTTCCCTTCTCTAAAAGGCGAAACACGGACGTTTTTCTCCTCGATCCGTGGAGCAACGTGCATAACCTCCTCGCGTGAAAGTCTCGCTCACCAACTTGCACACCAACTTTCACGTCAGAGCGCTGTGTAGTTCAAAGGCTAACCCCACCTAGAAAAGTCGCCTTAAACCCACAACGGTCGTGCGTGGTTCACGTGCGGTGACAGTCACAAGCCCCCAGAGCTAATCGCCAAACACGATGGTGGCCTTCGAGACTCGACTTCCGTTGGAGCATGTAACTAGCACTAGGGACTCAAAGCTCATTCCCGTGCTCAGGGGAACTTGAGGCTCTCAGCAACAGAAGTCGAGTCTCGAAGGTGGCCTGAGTGTTTCCCAGTTCGCAGCACTTCGCTTCCGCCCACGAAGCAAGAAACCTCCAGCAGCGACGCGTCACGAGATTTTGCGAATCGAGTAACTATCCAGAATATCGCAATACGTACCTTCCACTTCCAGGGTTGTCGGGAGAGATCCCGAACCGAACAACTGAAAGCAGTCACTGGGATGGGGAGGATGTCTGGGTCTCTGGAGAACTTGGGGGGGTGGAGTTACGAGCTTTTGCGAAGATGGGGGAATTCTGAAGGATGCCATCCAATCGGAATGGAGTGGAATTTTGCGCTCACCCGTGTGGGCAACAGCACAGCATAGTCCCACATTCTTGCTCTGTAACCACTGACGGATTCCCACGTGTCAAAAGATCCCAAGTACGCGGGCTGTAAGAGGCTCGGAATGGGTGGAAAGAGTCCTCCAACAGCCTAGCTGCAACATATCGAATCTCGATATGGGCATATCCACATCAGCACAAACTGAACACTAATGAAGCACTGCTTACACTGGAGCCTCTCATACACTCCCTGTAATCTCATTACACATTTGCTTTCTTCCCTTCTCTCCCATCCCATTGCTAGATTTGCAACCACGCCCAAAAAAAAACCCGCCTTGTGCATTTTCTTAGCAAAAATCACGGTGCTTGATTATACTTCCTAGGATTCTTCTCCCGCGGTTCATGGTACTCACAACATCGCATCAAACGCATTCACTCACAAATGCCCCATATTTGCATACCCATTGGTGAAGGTGAAGTGATTTCTGAACTTCGTGTAGGTTCTCAGAGTTAGAAAGAATGACTAGAATGAGAGTATACAGGGGTATACAGCTAGTGGGTTGTACTCTCTATGGCAAGACCCTATATAGTCTACTATCTTAGAACTGAATAATGATTAGAAAGAGAGAGAACAAGGAGATATAGCCTAGAGTGTTGTACCCTCTACAGCACAAACCAATATTGTCTATACTAACATACTTAGTCATGCTTGACACACCCCATAGACGATATAGGGGCAGTGCCTAACAAGACAACAAGTAGCTCAGGGCGGCACTACTAGTCCAGCCTCTGAGGCAAGGGTCCAAAAGACCAGTCAAAGGAAGGAGTACAGACACAACAAGAACAAGACCAAGGAGGCACTACTAGTCCAACCACTGGGAAGGGCCACAAGGCCGGTCAGGGTAACACATATATATAAAGGTCTATACACAATCAAGGCCCTAGCAGGTGAGAGGCAACAGGAACAAGGCCTAGCTGTACACAGTGCCGCTGATGATCTTTAGGCGCAAGTGCCTTCGTAAAAATATCAGCTGTGTTGGCACTAGAGGCCAAGTGTACTACGCGGGCCTGGCGACGCTGCTGTAGCTCGCGCAGGAGGAAGTACCGCAGCTGGATGTGCTTCGCTCTGCCCTCAAGTCGAGGCTCCTGACACAAGAGGATCATGGCCTTGTTGTCAGCGTACAGGACTGGGGTAGAGCTAGGCCGTTCACCTAAGTCGGTGAGCAAGAAGGCCAGCCAGTGGAGCTCCTGTGCCGCCATGGCACCGGCGTAGATCTCAGCCTCACAGCTAGACTGGGCAACAGACGAGGAGCGAGTAGCTCTCCACGAGACAACACCTGAACCAAGGCTAAAGCAGTAGCCCTGCGAGGACCTAAGGGTCTCGGCGTCGTCTGCCCACGAAGCGTCTGTGTGCCCAGCAAGGACCACTGGCCTGCCCCCTCCTAGCACAAACCCCATGCCTGATGTACTTGCAAGATAGCGCAAAACCCTCTTAGCAGCAGACCAGTGCTGAGGTCGGTGTCTGCCTGTGGCCACAAAGCGAGCCAAGATGCTAAGAGGGTATGCGAGATCTGGGCGAGTGCAAGTCATTAGGTACATAAGGCAACCCACCAGCTCTGCGTAAGGACCACTGGGCTCTACTGACTCCTCAGGAACTGGAGCAGAGAGCATGTGGTCTATAGGCAGAGGGGTGGGCTGTGCGGAGGAGAACTGAAGGCTGAACCTCTGAAGGACTTGGCGCACCAAGTGTGACTGAGTGAGGGTGATGGTGCGCGCTGCTCTGTCACTGGGGATCTGCAAGCCAAGGTAACGGCGCAGATCTCCAAGGTCAGTGCAGGTGTGTCTCTTCAGCAGCTCTGCCTTCACCGAGGTCAGTGTGTCCCTGTCGGCAGTGGCGAAGACCAGGTCGTCTACGTAAACAAGAATGTAGAACGGAGTCTGGCCAGTATGAACGAAGAGCGAGGGGTCTGCAGAGGACAGAAAGATTTGCAGGTCAGCAAGGGTAGCACGCAGCGTGTCGTGCCACTCACGGGGAGCCTGCCGTAGACCGTAGACAGGGCGCCGCAGGAGCCACTGAGTCCTAGGAGGAAAGGTACCATTGAAACCCTGAGGGCGGCACAGGTAGACCTGCTCGTGTAGACTGCCCTGAAGAAACGCAATGGAGAATTCGAGGGAGTGAAGCTTGTAGTCACGCTGAGCTGCTACGTGCAGTAGCACCCGAAGAGTAGTCATCTTCGGGGTCGGAGCGAATGTCTGAAAGAAGTTCACCCCCTCATGCTGACTGAAGCCTCTAGCCACGTAGCGTGCCTTGAACACAGGCGGCTCTCCAGGAGGGCGCTTCACCTTGAAGAGCCAGCGGCCATCGACTACGTTCACCCCAGGTGGTGGAACTGCGTCGACGTAGGTGCCAGTGGATCTCCAAGATGCCATCTCCTGCTCCATGGCAGCTATCCACTGAGAGGCCCAAGGTCCCGAAACAGCCTCAGACGGAGGACAGGCAGGGTCAGAGACCAGAGCGGTGGCGTAGTCAAGGCGGTGGGTAGAGGCGAAGTCAGCGACCGCAGCGACAAGAGCGTCAAGACACGAGACCGGAACAGACGGGTCGGTAACGAGAGAGGCAAGGACCCGAGGAACATGAGGACTAGCGACGCGAAGGTAGTCAGACAGAGGGGGAGGTGCAACAACAAGAGAGGACAGAGGAGGCGACAGTAGAAGGGTAGGACAAGACGCGTGGGAACGAGCCAACATAGGGTGAGAGCGTGGGACAGGGGAGACGGGGCAAGCATGGGAGGGACGGCGAGACCAGACGTGAGACGGAGGATTCGGGTCAGGAGACAGAGGAGGGGACACAGGAGGGGAATGAGGGGGAAGACGAGCCGGAGTCGAGTCCGGGGGAGGGAACACAGGGCTGTAGACAGGGAGAGGAGGAGACGACAGGAGAGGCGCAGGCGTAGGGTCAGGGGATAGTAGGCCGAGCAGGCGAAGGGCTGACACCAGCGGCGAGTGCTGCTGCAGCGGCACGGCACCGACTCCGGGACCGCAAGCTGCTCCATGGCTACCGCCGGAACACTCCACTCCAGCACCCCCAGAAGGAACACCCCCAGAGCCCGAAACCCCTCGAGCACCGGTACCACCCCCAGGCCCGCCGGGACAAGCCACGACAGGAACCCCAGGACTAGTACCCACTCCAACGCCAGCACCCCCAGAGTCAACGAACGGCTGCCGCGACGTCTGCGGTGACGGCTGCAGCGGCGGCGGCGGCAACGACGGCTGTGGCGGCGGCGGCGGCTGTGACAGCGGCTGAGACAGCGGTGGCGATGGGGGCTGCGGAGGCGGAGGAGAGACACCTGGGGAGGGGCAGGTGGCGAGGACTGCGCCGTAGGACCACCAAAATCAGCAGACTCCTCGACCGGGACAACCGACGTGAAGGGAGTGACGTGATACACACCAAACGGTGCAAGACAGGGAGGGGGAGGAGGGGGGACAGGGGCGACCAGGGAAGGGGTGACCAGGAACAGGGGGGAAGTATCCGGGGGACCTCTGTCGGGGAAGCGGCGGTAGTAGGAGACGGACTCGTCACAGGTGACGTCGCGGGAGTGAAAGAACCGGTGAGACAGCGGGTGGTAGAAGTGCCAGTCAGGCGCGTCAAGGGGGAAACCGGGGAAGACACAAGGGACGGTGCGGGCAGTGAGCTTGTCCGTGCCAGAGGCACGAACGTGAGCAAGGCAGCCCCAGACGTGGAATGGAGACGCGTCACCAGGAGACCCGGACCAAAGAAGGGTCGGCGAAACCCGCGGTTGCTGAGGGTGCGGCCACAGGTTAAGCTGGTGAGCGGCGTAGCGAACGACGAACGGCCAGAGAAAATTGGGTGCACCAGCATGGACCATGGAGATGCTAGCCACCTCCATGACCAAACCGATGCGTCGCTCAGCGCCCCCATTGTGCTGCGGGGAGTCCGGCAGGGTGAACGTCTGGGTGATGCCCTCCGCACGACAGAAACGACCAAGGACACCAGAGGCAAACTTGCCACCGCGGTCGGAGTGGAGATGCAAGACAAGGAGACCGCGGTGGACATGCGCAGAGACAAGCCACGGGAGGAGAACGTCAGGCACCTCGGCCTTCCGCTCCAGGGGGAACACAGTGGTGTAGCGCGTGTAGTCGTTGACAAGCACTAGGAAGTAGCGAACGCAGCCCATGGACGGGGGCGGGGCCCCAGACGTCCATGTGCAGAGTCTGTAGTGGTGCGGTGGTAGGGAAAAAAGAGGAGGAGTGAGGGGCACGGCGGAGGCGGCCCTCGACACAGGGCGTGCACGGTGGAGCTGGGGAGGAGGGCAACTCGGGGAACGACCCTGGGAGACCTAGGACAAGACCGTGCTGGGACATGTAACGCAGACGCGGGAGTGCAGGGTGACCTAGATGGTGGTGCCACAAGAGTGTCGTGTGAGTGAGCGACCGATCGGAGCAGGCAGCAGCAACCTGGGTAGATGCAGCCACCTGAGGGGACGTCCCAACCGGGGGGGTCGCGGTGTCCAGTGTGAACAGTCCAGACAACGGGTCCCAGGGGAACGTGGTGAGGGGAGCACTAGTGGCGGCCTCGGTACAGACAGCGTACCGCTCGTGACCAGGGAACGTAGTGG